TCCCTTTTTTTTTTTTTTTTTTTTTGAGACGGAGTTTCGCTCTTGTTACCCAGGCTGGAGTGCAATGGCGCGATCTCGGCTCACCACAACCTCCGCCTCCTGGGTTCAGGCAATTCTCCTGCCTCAGCCTCCTGAGTAGCTGGGATTACAGGCACGCGCCACCATGCCCAGCTAATTTTTTTTTTTTTTTGTATTTTTAGTAGAGACGGGGTTTCACCATGTTGACCAGGATGGTCTCGATCTCTTGACCTTGTGATCCACCCGCCTCGGCCTCCCAAAGTGCTGGGATTACAGGCGTGAGCCACCGCGCCCGGCCAGCAATTGGTCCTTTGAAGTTTAGCACTCTCTTCCAGCCTTAAGGTCCAGGTTCCTAAGAACCTCCCTGCTAAGAAGCTTAGCAGTGGAAAAACTTAAAAGGTTACAGGGAGGGCTGGGCGCGGTGGCTCACACCTGTAATCCCAGCACTTTGGGAGGCCGAGGCAGGTGGATCACGAGGTCAAGAGATTGAGACCATCCTGGTCAACACGGTGAAACCCCGTCTCTACTAAAACTACAAAAAAATTAGCTGGGCATGGTGGCGCGTGCCTGTAATCCCAGCTACTCAGGAGGCTGAGGCAGGAGAATTGCCTGAACCCAGGAGGCGGAGGTTGCGGTGAGCCGAGATCGCGCCATTGCGCTCCAGCCTGGGTAACAAGAGCGAAACTCCGTCTCAAAAAAAATAAATAAATAAATAAAATAAAATAAAATAAATTCCCACACCGTCCTGTTGAGATGTGAATCATCCGTTTGTACAGTGTATCCGCTATAACCTCCTTAATGACTTAGTAGCAGTCTCATCAGATAGACTGTGGCAATGTGCAGTATCCAAGTGCTTGTGTTCAACTAACCCTTATTTTCCTTAATAAAGGCCTCAAGGCCGGGCCCGGTGGCTCACGCCTGTAATCCCAGCACTTTGGGAGGCCGAGGCGGGTGGATCACGAGGTCAAGAGATTGAGACCATCCTGGTCAACATGGTGAAACCCCGTCTCTACTAAAACTACAAAAAATTAGCTGGGCATGGTGGTGCGTGCCTGTAATCCCAGCTACTCAGGAGGCTGAGGCAGGAGAATTGCCTGAACCCAGGAGGCGGAGGTTGCGGTGAGCCGAGATCGCGCCATTGCACTCCAGCCTGGGTAACAACAGCGAAACTCTGTCTCAAAAAAAAAAAAAAAAAAGGTTACAGGGAATATACTCAAGAGACTGAGGCAGGAGAATTACTTGAAACCAGGAGACAGAGGTTGTAGTGAGCCAAGATCGCACTACTGCACAATCTTGCACTGTCTGGGTGACAAAGCAAGACTCTGTCTAAAAAAAAAAGTTCTGGGGAATAGAGCAAAATTTTGGAAGCTCTTATTAGAACTTTTCCCATTTGCCAAACAAAACAGAAAAGAATTTAAATGTTTTAATAAAATGTTTTTTATTCAATTTAAAATAGATGTAATTTAGTGTCCATTAGCATTCATGTGTCATCTCTTATGCTCTATCAAGATTGATTTCTTTGGAGCTAGAGGCCATTTATCCTAAATGAAGTAACACAGAAACAGAAAACCAAATACCACGTTCTCGCTTATAAGTAGGAGCTAAACATTGAGTACACATGGGCACAAAGAAGGAAACAGCAGACACCAGGGCCTACTTAAGGGTAGAGGCTGGGAGGACGGTGGGGATAGAAAAAGTACCTATCAGGTACTGTGCTTATTACCTGGGTGATTAGGTAATTTGTACACAAAACCCCTATGTCACACTATTTATCTATATAAGAAACCTGCATGTGTACCTCTAAACCTAAAATAAAAGTTGTTTTTTTTTTTAAATGGGAGACAGTCTTCCTCTGTTGCCCAGGCTGGAATGATCTCAGCTCACTGCAACCTCTGCCTCCTGAGTTCAGGCGATTCCCCTGCCTCAGCCTCCTCCTCCAACCTGGACCTTAAGGCTGGAAGAGAGTGCTAAACTTTAAAGGACGAATTGCTACCCAGCACTTTTTTTTTTTTTTTTAGACGGAGTCTCTCCCTGTCCAGGCTGAAGTGCACTGGCACAATCTTGGCTCACTGCAACCTCCACCTCCCAGGTGTAAGCATTTCTGCCACCTCAGCCTCCCGAGTAGCTGGGACTACAGGTGTGTGCCACCATGCCTGGTTAATTTTTTTTTTTTTTGATAGAGACAGAGTTTCACCATGTTAGCCAGGCTGGTCTTGATCTCCTGACTTCAAGTGATCCGCCTGCCTCAGCCTCCCAAAATGCTGGGATTACAGGCGTGAGCCACTGCGCCTGACAAAGTTTTTTTTGTTTGTTTTTAAAGTGATTTCTCACGTTTGCTTAGGGAATAAAAAATGGAATCTGTCATGTTGAGAGGCTTTGTAATCTCAGACTAGCTATTGGCTTAGGAAACATTTAAGTTTATTGAACCAAAACATTTACTTAAAGGAAAGGTAGGGTGTTTCTCAGCAAACTCATTGGGCCCGTAGCTGTTCTTTTGAGACTCATCTCAGTGAGGCCAGCTGCTATAAACTGGTCCCTTGGCAGGTCATGTGAGAGAGAACACACTGGATTGGATGGCCAGAGGTATGACCCAGTGTCTGGTTCCTGGTTATCTGATTTCTGTTTTTACATCTTCCAGGTGCCCTCCCAGTTGCAGAGAGCTTCAGCTTCTGCTTGATAACTTTGCTGTCTGATGTTGCCTATAGGGACCCTTCACTTAGGGATGAGGTAAGCATATGTTGATTTGGTGTGCATTTCTATTAGATTGAATAGAGTCCCAAAGTGATGAAAAGATTTTAAAAGTGTGAAAGGTGATTGGATTGTTTGTTGATATTTATCCATTTCATACTGTTCATAACAGACTTAAGACATGTTTAGGTCTTCCAGTCCTTTTTTTTTTTTTTTTTTTTGAGATGGAGTCTCGCTCCCATTGCGCAGGCTGGAGCGCAGTAGCGTGATCTAGGCTCACTGCAACCTCCACCTCCCAGGTTGAAGTGATTCTCCTTCCTCAGCCTCCTGAGTAGTTGGGATTACAGGCAAGCACCACCACACCTGGCTAATTTTTGTAGTTTTAGTAAAGACAGGGTTTTTCCATGTTGGCCAGGTTGGTCTTGAACTCCTGACCTCAAGTGATCCACCTGCTTCAGCCTCCCAAAGTGCTGGGATTACAGGCATGAGCCACCGCGCCTGGCTCGTCTCTCAGTACTCTTTAGGATCTCATGAGTCTTATCTCATTCAACTTTTCTTTTTTCTAATGAAGGGCAGGCATTGCAGAGATGGGAGCAGCATTGCCCCTTTCAGCTTTTCTCAAATTCCTATAAGGTAGGAGGCAGAAAAAGGCAGAGGCAGCTCATTTTTCTTGCTCTGTTTTGGGGATTTAAGTCATTCATAGAAGATAATTTTCTTTTCTTTTTTGAGACAGTCTTGCTCTGTCATCTAGACTGAAGTGCAGTGGTGTGATCTCAGGTCACTGCAACCTCCACCTCCTGGGTTCAATCCAGACTCCCAAGTAGCTGAGACTATAGACATGCCCCAGCACACCAGCTAATTTGTTGAGATGAGGTTTTGCCATGTTGTCCAGGCTGGTTTTGAACTACTGGCCTCAAGTGATCCTCCTGCCTCGACCTCCCAGAGTGCTGGGATTACAGGCATGAGCCATGGTGCCTGGACAGAAGAGAATCCTCTAGGTAGCTGAAGCTTTTATCTTTAAGGGCACAGACTTTCTTTAGATTCTGTTAATTTTGATGGAAATGCTACTAATATATATTCCATACTTTTCTCTTCTTTAAACAAAGAATATAATCATATAACTTTTTCTTAGATTTATCAATTAGAAAGTCAGTTTTTGTGTGCTACTATTCTCAGGTCCTTCCAAGCAGTGCCTACTTGCTTGTCTGCATGCTAAATATTTGCAGTTAGTGATGCATTTTGAATAATTTAGATTCTTCATTTATATATAGGTTGACTAAAGAAATAATTAAATATGTTAGAACTGTATGTTTCTATTAAAAAGCTGGGCATTAAGTTAAGGACTTTTCTGTGAATAAAATTTATCAGAATAAAGAGGTCAACATGACTATTCGTGGTGTTAACATTCTAAAGTCATGATGATAACATGACTTTATCATGTAAAATGGAAAAAGTGGCCGGGCACAGTTGCTCATGCCTGTAATCCTAGCACTTTGGGAAGTCAAGGCAGCTGGATCATTTGAGGTCAGGAGTTTGAGGCCAGCCTTAATTTGGGCTAATTTTTGTATTTTTAGTAGAGACGGGGTTTCACATGTTGGCCAGGATGGTCTCAGTCTCTTGACTTCGTGATCTACGCACGTCAGCTTCCGAAAGTGCTGAGATTACAGGCATGAGCCACTGCCCCTGGCCCCATAAGCTCATTGTTTATGCATGGTGGCTGAGGCCTGTAATCCCAACACTTTAGGAGGCTGAGGCAGGAGGATCACTTGAGACCAGCTTGGGGAACATAGCGAGACCCCATCCCTACAAAAATAAAAATTAGCTGGGCATAGTGACACATGCCTGTAGTCCCAGCTACTCAAGAGGCCGAAGGAGGAGGATTGCTAGATTCTAGGAATTTGAGACTGCAGTGAGCTGTGATTGAACCCTGCACTGATCTTGGCTCACTACAACCTCAGCCTCCCGGGCTCAGGTGACCCTCCCACCTCAGCCTCCTGAGTATTTGGGACCACAGGCATGCACCACCACACCCTGCTAATTTTTGTATGTTTTGTAGAGACAGGGTTTCGTACATTGCCCAGGCTGGTCTTGAACTCCTGAGCTCAACTGATTCACCTGCCTCAGCCTCCCAAAGTGCTAGGATTATAGGCATGAGCCACCCTGCCAGGACAAAAAAAATTTCTTAACTTAAAAAATTACGGCTGGGCACAGTGGCTCACGCCTGTAATCCCAGCACTTTGGGAGGCCGAAGCAGATGGTTCACCTGAGGTCAGGAGTTCTAGACCAGCCTGGCCAACATGGTGAAACCCCATCTCTACTAAAAACACAAAAAATTAGGCGGGCGTGGTGGCACACACCTGTAATCCCAGCTGCTTAGGAGGCTGAGACAGGAGAACTGCTTGAACCCAGGAGGCAGAGGTTGCAGTGAGCTGAGATCATGCCATTGCACTCTAGCCTGGGCAACAAGAGTGAAACTTCATCTAAAAAAAAAAAAAAGTATAAGCTCATTGAGATAGCTGTGTGAAGTGGCTGCAGAAAAGCTGTTGTCACGTACATAGACATCTAGAATCTGTGATGAGTTTAGTGAGTTCCAGCATCCCAAATGTTAATGTATTTTATTCTGAGCACCACTCTTCAGACAGAAAACTGGACTGCCATAAAATCAGAAGCTGACAATTAGCATTTAAAGGATTTGTGATCACGAAGAATAAGGTTGAAAAGCCCTAGGGCATTTGCCCATGAAAAGAGAAGATTTGGGTACCTATCACCTGTTTACAGAATATACTAATAGAGGAAAAGGTAGCCCCAAGGGCTGGTAGGTACAGGCCCCAGGAGAACAGCATCAGCCCAATGTTGGGAGGAACTCTGAACCAGCCCGAAGAGCGAGCGTTTTTGTCCCTGGAAGGTCAGCTGGTTGGCCTCTTGGCACAGCCATTGTGGAGGGATGTATCAGATATGGGGTTAGTTAAGGTAATGTCTGAAGTGCCTTCTAGTTCTGACTTACTTTTGTGATATTTACCTAATTTTGTTTATTAATATGCCTGTTTGTTTTCTTGACTATTACAGATTTTAGAGGCGCTTTTGCAGGTATTGCATGTCCTCTTGGGGATGTGCCAGGCCTTGGAGATTCAAGACAAAGGTAGTAATATCCTTGAGGTTTTTCTTAAAATGGTTTTGTGGTTACTCTTTCCCTTTCTTTTCTCCAGTCTTTTCTGTTGTTTGGTACCTAATGTATATCTGATGGGAGAAAACCTTCCTATTTTAGGTTGATTTGTTGTGTGTTAGTATCCACAGAGGCCACATGGGTTCATGTGCATTGCTCTACTACATAGATGCTTGGGTCACCTTGAATAAGTAACTTTACCCTTCTGGGCCTCAGTTTCTTCACCTGTAACATCTGTGGGTAGATTAGTTGACTTCCAGAGCTCATTTTTTCTGTATTGTAAGGCTACCAGTATGGTCCTAAGAGGAATAAATGTATTAACTAGTGTCAAGATACTTGATAATGTGACCTAGCTAGATTATTGATTTGGATGTGCCATGAATAGATGAAGACTATTGACCCAGACTGAAAAATAGACCCAGACTTTTGCCCAAGGAGGGCAGCTGGGTTTGATGAAGGCATAATCTGAAGTTGTTAATGACAGATTGAAGATACCACTGGTCAGTCCTTGGAGTTGACCCCATTATTGTGGCTTATGCTGAACCTTCACAGTTGCTAGTGGGTGGGTTATGAAACCTTGGTCGATGTTACAAGTTAGTACTGTATGACTCTCTCAGGATACTTTCTCATGTTGTAATGTTTTCACTTGATCTTCTAGAATACCTTTGCAAGTATGCCATCCCATGCCTGATAGGAATCTCGCGAGCATTTGGGCGTTACAGCAACATGGAAGAGTCTCTCCTCTCAAAGCTCTTTCCCAAAGTCCCTCCTCATTCCCTCCGTGTCCCTGAAGAGCTTGAAGGTGTTCGAAGGCGTTCCTTTAATGACTTCCGCTCCATCCTCCCCAGCAATCTGCTGACTGTCTGTCAGGAGGGTACCCTGAAGAGGAAAACCAGCAGTGTGTCCAGCATCTCTCAGGTAGGCCTGGGCTCCTGGGGAAAGAGCAGAGGAGAAAGAGCCTGTTAAGCTCCTTTGC